CTACTCAAAGGTTTAAATACTGGTGTAATTCAGGTAGTGGGTGTAGCCTGAGAAAAGACTATGTCTAATCCAAACACCTCCAGGTACCTGAATTAAAGTTCCGCTTTAAAAACAAGATGGCACTAGTGCTTTACTACAACTCAATGCTTGTGATCTAATTTTTTTACCACAAAAATTTTTTTTTGGTTTATATTTCTTAATGAGATGAACCATTATCACTGATGTATGAAGAGCGATGAAGTCTAGGGATGAATTTTTTTTTCCTTCATTGGATACCTGCTTAATAGAGAAAGCTTAGCAAGATTAAAAGAAAGATAAGACTGATAGTGGAAAACCTTAAGCAAGCTTTATGACTGGAGTTACTTTAAATACAGAATATCCAACACAAGGAGCCTCACTACGGGGATTCTTCTATTGCTGACACATAACCCTTGAGCTAGGAGACCAAACTTTGCAAAACAAATTAGACTGAGATTGTCCCATATACAATTAATATAATTCAGAGCTGGTTCACTGTAGATCAGAAAATGTCCCGAGTACAGAGCTTCTCAGTATGTAAACAGACTATAATTATAATTATCATCCTCTCTTCTAAGTAACAGAGTGCGGGAGCAGGCTTAGTTACAAAAGACCTTTAAAATCTTTGATACTGCAAGTTACGATGCTCTGAAAAACGTAGGCAGACTGAGGGGGAACAACTGTATGGTCTGCTTGCTTTTCGATCGGAGCATTTTGCCAGTTGGTACCCTGTGTTTCCAGACCCTTTTAACAGTCAAAGACAGGTTCTTATAAAATGCATAAATATCTGGAGTTTTCTTCCCACGGCAAATTGTGGTTTTTGCCGCTGCTTTGATTAAGCATTACTCTTTCTGGCTCATCTTGTTCTTCTGGTGCAAAGGATGAGAGGTTTTGCCGCTTGGAGAGCCTGGGTGTGCCTTTCTTACCAACACTTCCGGTCCTCCAAAAGCAGAAGTGAGTCCATCTGATGATCCATTTGCCTGCTGTTGCTACCAAGGTGAAATTCAAGCTTTCAAGATTTTTGCTCACATTTCTCCCTTTTGCCTGTAGCCCAAAGAGCTGGCTGTGTGGAGGGACAGGCATTTGTGCTGGGGATAAATTATTGTTACCTGTGGTGCCTGCCTAAAGCTCTCAGCTGCTCCCTGTCAGTCCGCTCTCCATCACGCTGCCCACTCCTGCGCCAGTCTTCTACTTCCTCTCGCTGTTTTCTTTGCAGGACATCTGTGGGTGCTGCTCTGAAGTTTGGCTTCTAAGCAAAGCCTTAACTTGTAACCGACTCTAATGCAAACTCACTCAGATGTGTGTCCCAAAACTACCACTTGATGATGACAGAATCAAATTCCTTTTCTGGATTCTCACTAGCATTTTGCTTTTAGACACGGCAGATGCCATTCTTTCTTCCTCTGAATGGTGTGGGGCTTCACCGCATGTGCTTCTTGAATTTGTAGAGGTGTAAAACCAGACATTTTTTGCATTTAAACGCCAGCACCCAAGCAAATGCTTTGTCTTTCCTGTAATGCCTTATTTAATGAGGTTCAGAATAAACTGGATTAACTCTTTGTATTTACATTAACAGTAAAAGTCTGCTGGAAGCTAAAACACTGAGGTTTTTCTTCATAGAACTAGACTATGAAGTAACAATAAAAAAGCATGTTTGTCTTTTTCTTTTTCTGCAACCATTTGATGATTTTTCACAGCAGAACTAGGAAAGCTGTGTAAATCTCTTTTTTACCCTTGAAAAATAAAATACATATGGTTGCTTACTTGACCTGGGGAAAAACAAACCTAAAAACATAGAATAAGACCGCTCTCTCACTATGAGGTACCTTGACTGTGCGTACAGCAAATGAACGTGAAGAAACATACCCATTTTTGTTCTTTGTGTCAGTTGTTTTTTTTTTAAAAAAGCTAAATTAAATTGTAAAGTTGCAAGTAGTTGTATACATTTCTTGAGGGAGATGGTCTTAGTTCCTATTACGGTGCCTAGGGCAGAAGCAGGGAGCCACTGATATTAAAAGTGGATGTGTCTGTCATAAGAGAAAATTAAACTTTTTGTCAGGCTTGAGAAAACCTTCAAACAAGTGCATTCAGAATTGACAGATGAAGGTTAAATCAATAAGTAATTAATCACTTTTATCACTTTCTCTCTATTAAGGGAGGCACAGTAAGACAGAGTTGTTCAGGTTTTCGTTTTCAAATAGTTCGTGTTTATTTTAGTCAATAGCAGGCATAGGCACTGAGGCTCCAGACAGACATCCATGGGATTTAGCTGTGCTTTTGCAATTGTAAAGCAATTTCCAGTGTGGAAATGCGGATTGTGTTGCACAAGGTACATACCAAAAGCTTATTAGTTAACGACTGTAAGTAGTCTACACTGCCTTGCTCTGCATGTGCTAAAGTGGGACAGGACTAATTAAGCAAGTAAACTTGCTTACTTTTAAATAACAAAGTAATTTGATTATGGCTGTTGCACAACTAATTCCAAATAAATCTGAACAAGCTCCTACCAGATTAGGGTGCAAATTTAGAAGTATATACAGCTTAACTGTTTTTATATGAATCAAATGTCCCAGAAGCTGCATTTCACACTATACATGCATTTTTCTCTAATCTTAATCATGCTGCTCAGTTGAGTTTGACTGACATATTCATGATTGAGATTAAAAATGGACTCTGATAGTACAATCATGCTAACATGGTTCTGCCTGCATACTTCAGTTCAAAGTAATTGGATGTACAAATACCCTAGCCCTTGTTTTTAACATCAGTTTAAACAGTGGGATGCTCATTTCTGTGTGCTCTCAATCTGTGAGGGCTTTACACCCCTTCAAATTGCTTCTTGCTGTGCTACTACAGGCATTGTTCTAAGACCTAGAATATCAGTGCTTCATCTTCTTCAACCAGAAGCCATATTCCTGTATCAGCTGCTAAAGTTACTTGGCAAATAGCATTCCTTTTGGACAGCCTCTAGTAAGAAGAGAGTTTGCTGTAAGATGGTAACCTAGTTACAAGGGATGATTAAAGTTTATCTTTTAATCATAGACTACCAGGTTGGAAGGGACCTCACGGATCACCTGGTCCAACCTTTCTTGCCAAAAGCACAGTCTAGACAAGCTGGGCCAGCACCTTGCCCAGCCGAACCTTAAAAATGTCCAATGTTGGGGAATCCACAACTGCAGCAGCAGGACACTGTTCGCTTCTAGGGAGCTTGTTGTTCACCAGGAACCCCCAGGTCCCTTTCCACAGAGCTGCTGCCCAGGCGGGTAGATCCCAACTTGTGCTGCACTTCTCGATTATGTTTTCCCAGGTGCAAAATCCTACACTTGTCCTTACTGAACTTGCTAAGTTTCTTGTTAGCCCACTCTTCCAGCCTCTCCAGTCTTCCTGCAGGGTGGTCTCCCTTCCAGAGTGTCCATTTCCCCACTCAGTTTGGTATCGTTGGCAAACTTCATCAGGGGACACTTGATCCCACCATCCAGATCACTTATGAGGACATTAAACCGTGTTGGGCCCAATATTGATTCCTTGGGAACCCTGCTTGCGACAGGTTGCCAGTTAGAAAAGGAGCTCTTCACCAGCACCCTCTGGGTGTGGCCTGTCAGCGCGTTCCCACTGACTGCACAGACACTTGTTAGGCTGTAGCACAGCAGTTTCTCTAGGAGGAGGCTGTGGAGAACTGTTTTTCTTTCAGAAATTGAAGCGATGCTAAATAAAACTTAGCCAGTCCTACTTGGATGAAAGCTGACTTTGCATTGCAAATTTTTTGTTTCTCCTGTAGACTCCTTAGTGTTAAATTTGCAATTGTTAAAAAAATTAAAATCTTACAGTAGCCCTTACTGTTTGGAACAGAAAACTGCCTCTGTTTTGCAGTTCTGCACTACACTAATACTGTTCTGCATGTCCTGGCTGTCGAGAATCCCATTGTGACTGGATGTCACGAACTCGTGGGTTTTCCTTAGGATGCCTTATGCAATACAATCTTTGCAGACAGCAGAGAGACAGCAAACATGTCCCTTACATCAGTGGCAACTGTAACTGAATGGTTCAATGGGAATGTGTATAGCACCTCTTTCCTAGGGTGGTTAAGAAAATATTGCAAGTGAACCACCATATACACCAGCCCTTAAGCTTACTCTCCAGTGTCTTCTCTCAGTGCATTATAAAACACAAGAACTGGCACTAGAATTTAGTCCCAGCAGTGCAGCCAGTGACACAGATACATCTGCTGCCTTCTGCATTGTCTGCTTCCTAGGATACAGAGGTGCCTGCACTTCTCTCTTTTTCTAAAGGACATTTACTTTCTTAATTTGAATTCTGGCCAATGGGCTAGTCTGACTTAGCTTCACTTTCCAGAAAACAACCAACCAGACAAAATTTGGATGTGAATGGCTTCTCTGCCATGTGATATGTGACATGCATGGTTATTTCCACTGAGGTATGGTGGTCAAAGAAAGTAGTTCTTAAGAATATTTATTGTATTAGTATTTATTTTTTCAGACAACAGAAAAATCTGTATTAAAAAAATGTTAACAGGCCAAGAAAGAGCTTCAGCAAAAGATCTATAAATCATTGAAAAGACCTTTTTTTTGGCTCAGATCTTGTTTCAGGTATTTCCCCAACACCTTGTTTCTGTGACCAGATATGACACTTGTCAGTTTATTTATTAACAGGGTACCTCGTATTGGACGAGAACACTAGCAATTCATCTTAAGTGCTTAGGAAAGAGTAACAGAACTGTAGTGCCCCAGACGGTGACCTTACACCCAATTCTTTTGCGTGCTTGGTAGGTGCCATTTTAACTCTTGTGCTTTAGAAGTATTTTAGTCTAAAAAAGAACCCAACCAAACAACAAAAATTAGCAAACCAACAAGCCAAGCCAAGAATACTGTCAAGACTGAAGACGTATAGAGCTAAATGCTGAACTCATTTGGCATAAATGGCTAAAATCAAACCAGACGCTCATTAGTACACACTTCTCCTCAGCAGGACTGCTGATCAGAAAGCAAGAAAGTCCACTGTGAGAGAGGGTCCTCCTTCATTAACATTTTTATGTAGCCATTAGATTTATGAAGAAAGGAGTTAGACTGAGGAATCTTTTTCCGGAAGTACTTTTTTCTTGGAGGATCTCCAATTCAGACAAGCAGCTTCCAAAATAGGAACGGGACAGGACTACCAAGGACTGCAGGGATCTGGGCATTCTCGCAGGTAAGTCTCTGTACGACCATTATACACCTTCATCAGCGTTGTGCACACAGTCAGCTAGTAGGCAGGTGGGAGGAAGAAGAAGGGGAAAAAAAACCAAACCAGAGAAAGCCTCGTTAGAGCGATTAATGAAAAAATGTCTCTGATACTAGCTGAACAATTCAACTAAAAGGAGCATTTATCTTATTCGGTCAACAACATACAAGGATGAATAGCTTGTGTCCTCAGCCAAGAATGCTTCCTCCACTTTACATATAAAATTATTCAAAAGCTCTTCTTACCCCTTTAGACTTCCTTTATTTTCTAAACACCAAAACCTCAAGTTCACACAAAAAACATCTTCTGTTATAAGAATGTGCCTGCAGTATGCCCAAACCATGACGTACATTAACTTGTTTCATGCTACTTATAGAGGCATGTAACACAGGTTAATTTGGGTTATAAGGGTCAAAGACGTCTGCAGTGCAAATGTTGCCTCAAACAAGAGCCAGCTATGAGGAAAGGGTTTGGACAACTTTGAGTTTTAGAGCTGTAGAGCCTTTGGAAAAGAGCTATTCCTGCAATTACATTTTACTTTTTACAAAGTAATGTGGAATTTGTTTCATTTTTACATGCATGTTATTATTTAAAAAAACCCGGAATATACCACTGTGACTCCTCCTTAGATGTAGTTAGTGGTCTGCTGCCCACTCCCCGACTCTAAACTTACTGCCAAAATAGAAGCATTACCTTATTGAGGACAGGCTTTGTGGAGAGAACATCATAAATTGCTGGTAAGGAGATGTTCTGAAAGAAAATAATACATTGATGTCAGGAGACACTAACGTTAAGTGGAACTGCTAAGAACTGTAGCTTTTTTTACGGCTCAGTTAGATGAGAAGACAAAGCTTTAAGAGTACGTGATACCCATGCATTTTGAGAGCAGAAGAATAAGGGCTGCAAAAATGGAGCAGACCACGTCTCAGTACAACATGAGACAGTTAAGTGTCAGTGTCTGCTGCCTGACAGCGTGTGTCTGAATTTCACTGGTGATAAAACAGCCCAGGAAACACTGAAGATCTCTCTCAAAGTATCTCCAGGTTTATCCTCCTGCATACGCAGCTGCAGAAAATGCTTGCAGGAAACTCACTGAGATGAAGAGAAAGCCTAGAACTCATTTGTGTAAAGAGCCAGCTGGCACTTTATTACCCAGATGACCAGATAAATTGTCAGAAAACCTTCTGCCACTGCAGCTGTGCTTGCAAATGCCCTGAATGCTCCTGGCTCTGTCAGATCAGTCCTGGAACCTGGGAGTTTCGAAAGAGCAAGCTGAGGCATTTGGAGGATGTTTACCTCTTGCATCGTCTGGTTCAGGCATTTCATTGCAGGTGTTCTACGATTATCCAAGACTAAAGGAGGCTTCCACCGATCATAGTTTGTTTCTAACACGTACCACGTGCCCTTCTTGATATCAAGGCTGGAAAAGAGGTATATGTTTTTGTTTTGCTTCTCTAAGTATATACTATATATAGATTTTTTTTTAAGCTTGCTGTGGTAGTTTTCAATGATGCTAAAGCAGCGAGTTCTTGCACAACAAAAAGCACAAGAAAGATAGGACACAATTAATGGTGGAACTTGTCCTCTTCTGGAAGGCTGGGTAAGGTGTCAGGTCAAGCATACTCACTCCCAGATATCCAGAGCAGCTGTCCTGGAACGAGTTATCACACACCCTTCTCCAGAATTTTTTCCACCCAGTATAAAATAAGCTGGAGCCAGCAGTCTTGTTTTCGCCAGTTTGTCTTTCGCATCCTGGTAACTGCAGGTAAGGAAATAGTGTTGGACCACTGTAAATGATAATTTACAGTCTATAATGCTAGAGTATATAATGTAGTATATAAACAATTCAAGCACTGAAGAACAAGTTTCACAGACCCAGGAAAAGTTTGGGTAGTTACACCTTTCATGCACATAGGTGGAGACTGTATCACAAGGAAGGAACACGTTTAAGCAAAGCTTCTCCACTCACTTTGTACTTAAAAGTATGCTTGTTGAGAGATGCTCTTTGCACTTTCTCTACATATAAAATAGGAATAAAATGATGACATTCTGTGTCATATTCCATTTAATTTATTTACTGCATAACAACTTTGTTTCTGTTTACTGCTACTTGTTGGATCTGTTTGGATGCAGAATGCTGTTAGGCGTTCAGATACCAATAGGTTCGTTAGGAAAAAAAAAGTTAAATCTGAGAAAAGAATTTGAGGAGTTTTAAGGGATCATGTGGGATGCCTTTTCCGCTCACCAGAGCACCAGCAAAACCAGAACTACTAATGTTAAAGCTTCTAGGATAATATCTCTGTCACTAGATACTAAGCATATACTTAGAGTATTCATGCCAGTTGAAAGCAAAACAGAATAAAGCAGCAGAATATTTCTTTGGGGAAATACCTTGTAGCATTCTCTAATACTGTTCTTGTAAGAAAGCCCATCCACATTCCATCTCTTCTACCAAGAAACCATTCAAAGATTCCTGCAAAATATCACTGGTTACAATAATTCAGTTTCAGAAGGTCCACGCGTGCTATTCTAACTTTCATAGCCTTTAAAACGGATCGTGTTTCATCTTACTCATCTGGAATCTTTTCACCATTTCACTCCCTGTTTATTAAGGTAAGTAGTTTGCCCACAGTCTGGAAAACTTGTGCAAAAATAATGAAACAAATGAGCATTACTCACCAATATAACCACCATCAAGACTGAAACGCTCATTCATTGTCAGAGTGAACAAGTCCTGAAAAGCATTAAACAAGTCAACCTTCATCCACCACCAGCCCATTAATACCAGTAATAAACCAGAGGCAGCTTTGCAATTTACATGCTGACTGAGCTTCTTTTTCATTAGACTCTTCCCCTTTGTGTAATGGGCTGCAAGATCAAGTCCATGTGGAGAAGAACCGAATTTATCACTGGCTGAGTAAGTAGAAATGATTCTACATAGTTTTCTGACCTGGCACTACCCTCCAGCAAGCCAGGCTTTTATGTGGAGCAAGTCCAGCCTGTGGCCATTTTTCTCTTGGTCCTTGTGGCATCACTGAGTGTTGAGCCTTCCTTCCCCTGCTCTCTGTAACCTTCTTCTCTGACCTGTAACTGCTATTCTAGTTTGAAGGCCGATTCAAACCCAAATCCTGCTCTTCTCCAACCAGTATTTCTTTTCGAGGAAGCAGAATTCAGCTACACTGAATCATTTTCAGAATGGACTCTTCCCCAATTATTTATCAGAAGACAAAATCAAATGGATAAAGGGCTGCCTGTAATAGAGGATAAAGGCAGAGCATGTAGAAAAGGAGGAGCTGTGGGAAGCTGGAGACTCTGGTACAGGTCTGTGCTGCTGTTTTTTAAGATGTAGACAAAACTCAGATTTCAGGTGCCTATTAAAAAAAGTAAAAGAAAATCTTGCAATATAGGACTCCTCTTCCAAGGATTGGAGAAAGAATTAAAATAGCACAAGTATGCCATTTCACCTCTTGGATCACAGCAGTATCTGTTTGCTAGCAAGAAACCCTGAGCACTTTGTATTCACTCCTGTTCATATTCAGAATTCAACATAAATATTTCATTTAAGCAATCTCCTTTTACAAGGAAGACTGCAGCATTATTTTCTTTTACCCTTCTTCAAAGAGCTATGCTCTGTACCAGAAAAAGTTGAAGACCATTTATTAAAAAAAAAAAAGTCAAGGCAGAAGATAAAAGGAGGAAAGTCTGAAGCATTATTAACAAATTGACAAGGCCCCTTCCCCATACTTACCGGTTTGACTCCAGACACCATGCCTATGTATCCTGCAAAATTTGTAGACCTGAATACTGTTTTGTTGTTTCTCTGGAAGTCCAAGCTTACGACCAGAGGCTTCAGTTCCCGAGTTATAGTCCAGGAATTATTTTTAACATCCCACCTGCAAAAGACAGCACAGCCTTTGCAACTCCCTCTCCCTCCGTGGCTTCTGAAAGTTCCTTTGGCAGCACACACATTTCCCGTGTGCGAAGCCTGCCTGCTGACTTTACATCAGCCAGCACCACTGTCCCAGCAAGGGACAACCAGGAAGTCCAAACACACAGGCAGGCAGTGAAAAGAACCAAGTTTTGTTCAAAACAAGATCAGGCACAGTGCTTGGTACTGAATAGCACCAACACTACAGCCGGTTTGTTTTGAACACATTGCTGAGGCCGCCTGTGACCCCAAAGCTGCTGTATCATGAAAGTATGTGTGGCCTGTGCTGCAGCAGAATGCACCCTCAAATTCTTCCTTTGCAAAGGGAGAAAAGAGCAAAGCACAAACTACTGGATTTACTCTACAGGAATGGAAGTCCTGAACCCAGTTAGGTAGGGCAGAACGGTTTGTAGGCAAGAGGGTGCTGAAGAACACTCGGCAGACCATGCAAGTCTCTGGAAACAATCCAAGTTCTGGGAACAACTTTGAAAGTTGCCTCCCTGAAAAGGGAGCATGTTCCCACTGTTTCTGACAAGCGAGAGAAGTTCAACACAAGCCAGACCAAGGGACCGGTGGAGTCACAGTTGACAACATCTGAGTTTTTGATAGGCAAGTAAGACTTTCAATGAAGACGGACATTTAAATCCCACCTGGGCATTGAGAGTCATCTGGATGAGTGATATTACAAAGCATGCTGAGATAATAAAAGCAATCCCTGAACTACCTGATCACGAGGTATGAAACGAGAACTAAAAGAGAACCCAGGGCTGGGCAAAAAACTACAGAGTTTGTAGCCAAATGAATACCAAATCAGTGGAAGAAAAATTGCTGGCTTCAGAGTAGAAATGAATGATGCGAAGTGCTAGTGAAGCACAGTACAGTAACTAGGGCGTAATTTGGAAAAATAAAACAACTACAAAACCAAGGCCCAATCCCAATTTCACTGCATGCACTAAAATTGATGCTTTTTGTCCCATCACGTAAAGAACAAGATCTACCACTTCTCAGAGACAAGGACCATTCTTCTTGAAAGAGTTTTAAGTGGAGCTGAGAAAACGCCAAGCAATACTGAACACAACTTTCAGTGTCGCTCCCAATATGCCTCTAGTTTGACATAAAATCAGTAGAACAGTGCTTTTGTTTCAACATTTTTTTCACAATGTGCAATGCAGAATTACTTGTTGCGGTCTTAACAACATCCAGTTCCTCACTTAGACTCAAAGAATGCACGTACAGATTTCAAGTTCAGCTAGGTTTTTATTTGTGGGTTGTTTTTTTTTTTTTTTAAAGCACAAGTTTAGGTACTTACCCAAGAAAGAGTCCAAAATCCAAGTTCCTGGCATGGTACAGCTTCCCTGCATAGCAATAAATAAATAATTAATTACAATTTTCTAAAGAGAGAGACATAAATTTCAGCTTATAAAACTAGGAAATAAGTAAATAGGAAAAAATTCCTGTGAAAGGAAGCAGAGAAAATGCCACTGTCTAGTTGCCCTTTACATAAGTACAGAGAAATGTTGGAGGTTTTGGATCAGAAAAGCATTTTGCCGTAACTGAAATCAAGTAATCTTGTAAACTGCTGTCCATCTCAGCCTCAGATACTTTCCACATTATCTTAATGCAATAGAAATACCCTGAGCTTCTCTAAAAGTGAAATGTTTGTAAGCTCTCTGAGGATGCCTCAGAAATTTCCTGAAACAGGGTCAGAGAAGGGCTGCAGAAATGAGTAAGAGAACAGAAGAGTCTCTTTTCTTAAAACAGGCTGCCCGTTTTCTCTAGCACCATACAGATGCAATAGTTACAAACTAGATGCAGAACAAATTGCACTAGAATCTCTCATGGCACTGAGAAAGTATCAGTTGCCTGGCTGGTTTTTCCTTCTCCTAGAAAAAAGAAATGCCACCTATTAAGACAAAAAAAACCCCAAACCACCACAAAATAAACCTCAATGAAATCAAAACATCTTTGATAGTATTTTTTCCTTTTTTCTTCCTAACGTAAGACACCTTTGATTTCTTATTCCCTTGTTGAGAAACACCTTTTTATTATCATTGCTTTTAGTCTCTTCTGTCCTGCAGTCAAGGAGGACTATGTTTATATAATTGAGGTGGATGCTCTCCTACACAAGAGAAAACTGTTAACACTATTCTAGGTTGCATTACCTGTTTTATCTTCTGCCACAATGGACGTACATACGGTAAAAATTTCATAGAAGATGTTAAAAATAACAATTTCCCCTAGAACAGAAAGAATCAAATATCAATAGTTTGAAACTTTTGCCATGAACAGAAAAAAAACTTATGAGAAAAAAACACATTGCAAAGTTCAGCATTCTATAATACTTAAGAATTTCTCTTTAAATCTCATTTGAGTTCTGAAATGACCACTTCAGCAAAATCAAGAAATTCCTGAAAGGCAAAGAGAAGGATCAGAATCGCTTGGCCTTCTGCCTTACCACAGAGAAGGCTGACAGTCATTGCTACTTCCTCCTCCGGGAACTTCAAAACAAGCTCTAAACTTCACTTTCAAGATGAAAACTGCTCTGTGCACCACTACTCCCATACAAGAGCTGCTGACTAGCACCATGTGTACTGTTTCTGCATGAGGAAACAGTGGAAGCAGGTCTATGGACCTTCTCTGTCTCAATTCTGGAGGAATTCAGCATCTCCTCCTCACCTGGAACAGCATTCTTTTGCAGGAGGTGTGGAAGGAAGGCAGGAGGATGTTGCAAGGATCACAAGGGAGAGAAAGCACAGCAGGAAGCTGAGCCTTGCCTTCTTGGTAAGTCAACAGCAGACAGGACGGAATGGGGAGTCAATGGGAAACAAGGATTCCCCCAAATCTTGGTGTACAGGAGCTGAGACTCTCTCCAGTTCTCAAAATGCAGGAGTGAGAAGCTATAGCTCTACAGAGAAGTCTCAGCCTGATGAAAGGTTTGTGTCATTTGTTGCCATTCTCCTCTGAAACACTGTTTTCATTTAGTGTGAGATGTAATTTATTGCTTTATCTACTTAATTGATAATTTATTTGTTGAAGTCATAGGTGACTACAACCATACTGCAGATTGGTACATATACCAATTTTAAACAAGCCTGAATTCTTAGTTTTCTACTATATTAATAAAGTGTTGGAAACAATTACCCAAAGGAATCCCAGACGAATTTGCAATCCCTTGGAGTTCTTCATTGAAAGGATAAGGAAGCGTGGCGGTCAGATGAGCCTGAAAGGAAGAGTTTTGTACGTTGTTTGTGTAAATTAGTGCTATTTCTTTACTTAAAACTCCTCCCGAAAGGTACATCCCTCTCACAACTTACTGAGTATTTAATTCCTCTGCAGCCTGTAGAACTTTAGGATGTTTGCAGAGTACTTGGAAGACAAGTACATACTCAGAGCAAGTAAAAACTGTATGGACGTGAGCAATGGAGATTGGCACAATATCTTAATTATGGCTGGCAGCAACAGACTGAACAGAGTGAAGTAAGGCTCTTGTACGTGAACAACTTAACTGGAACTGTGCTTGACGTGTTTAAGGGAATCCCGAAATTTCACACAGTGCTACAACAACCTGTGATACACCACCTTTCTGTCCACCCCACGCAGGCACATCAGGGTACAAAGCAAGGGTGGCCAGCCTGACCTAAGGCTGCTAAAAATAGAGACTGGGGACAGATTCAATGTCATGCTGGCTCTACTCCTACTGTGTTTCCCCCTGTCCTGATTCGGCACCAAAGTGTTTAATCAGAACTACATTTTTAAGATGGGCCTGGTCAAAGCTGCTCCTGTAATCAAACATTTATTACAGTTTTCAAAACCCGATTTTATTCTACTGTTCAAAAGGATTACAATGTGGCAAAGAATTTCAGTGAAGTGTTTTGCTCCAGTGACTAAGACCATAGCATATGGGTCTAGCATAACTAATTCAAACATGAAGAGATCTTCTGAAAAATTAGAGGAGGAAGAGACACATGCATTTTAGATTTGATGGTTTCAGAATAAGTGAGAGTAGGCAAGAAGACAAAATTTTAGAGTAACTCTTCAAAACAGCATTTTTGACATATAAGTGGAAGAATTATCACTTGGTAAGTTTTTAATTACCAAATCTAGTAGCATTCTAATTCTGGCAGTCAGAGCATACAGTAATAAAATAATTAGGCTGAAAATACTTACTATTTTGTTATCCACTATGTCAACAATTTTGCCACTGGGGAAGAAAGTATTTGCTATGTCTTTAATATTCTGGATCACAGTCTTCAGCTAGAAAGAACAAAGGCTCTTATTGAATACAAGATCTTGAGCACAAAATTTGCTACAATACTAAAAAAACCCCTTCACGTACTTTTCAGAAAAACATTTTGTTGAAAACATACACATTTAAAGAATGTGATAAATGTGGTGATCTTAGTGAGAAAAACACCCCCAACTCCCCATAAAGAGTCACTCTCCAAGCTTTATTCAAATAACTTTCTAGACTACCTCCAACATGTCCCTCTACCAGAAAAAACGAATTACAGGAAAAAGCCATCCTCGTCTTCTGCTCTTTTGATCATATTTTACACTCTTCTATCTCTAAAAATAGTAATTAAAAGCTCCTTGATTATGCACTGATGTTCTCGAAGACAAAAAGACTCAATAAATTTATCATAAAAGTACATGCTTTCCATTTGTGACACGTCAATGGCCACAAATAGAATTCCACTTCATGTGATCTAACTCCAAAGTACACAAGAGATAAAACCTTTCAGAATTTACGGTGCAACCTGAAGGTTCCAACGCCCACTGGCTTAAACAAGTCTTCTGAAATAAATTCTATGGTCTAAGTAGAATTTGTTTGGCTTTCAGAGTGCAAAGGTCGAAGTCAGCAAGATATGGCAAAAAATCTCTGGCCTTTTGCGAGAAATGAAGCATTACTGAATTGAGTTTTCAGCAAACTTAAAAAGAAAACAGCTGTTCTAAGTAGCCTGGAGTATTATAAAAATTATTTCTGCCGTGTAAACACCAGTGCTGCACCCCTGAAAAGGGTGGGAAGTACTTTGTTTCCCCCTTGCCATTTCATCATCCCGTGCAGTGTTTTGAGAGACGCAGGGATGTGCAGAGGAGAAGGGCTGCTGCCTCAGTTTCACTTCAGTTTCCTGAGGCCGTTCCCTTTGGCGAACTCCTTCCCCGTCATTCTGTATTGCTTCATGACTAAAGTGCTTTGCTACGTAAAAGCTTGCTTTCTGCTGCACCAGTTTTTATTCCTCTACATCCCAAACGTCAGTGCCTGTATATCTAATGCTGCTAGCTCAAATGTTGAACTGAAAAAAGTTTTACCCAAGCAATTATTTCAGTCTAGAATCATGTTAAAAAAAAAAATCCCAACTAGATACATTATTCGTTTCAGAGAATTTTAACATACTCCTTTCCAAACCTTTGCACAATAAAAGGCCACATGCTAGTTTTATACCAGCTAAGCTTCAAAGCAATCTCTGCATTTCATACCTCTGTCTTTTTGTCTTGCATCAACTTATCCCATCTTTTGCTGGGAGGTAAATCAAGATTTATGACGTATGTGGGAACATTCCCTTTGAACCTGAAAGATAAGTGCCAGAGCTCAAAATTAAAGTAGGCTTTGAAAAAACATTTGACAAAATAGGTGCTTCCCACCTGTAACTAGCATTTTTTAGACTGGCATAAGTTACAGAAAAAAAACCTCTCAGCCTGCTCAGACTTGCAAACCACTACTTTTCTGTAATTTGTTAGACAAGTGGAATTGGGTTACTTACGTTGGTCCTGACGGAGGGTATGTTTTACTCCTGCACTCTTCTCCATACTGTAAAGATAGGGAAACATTATTAACTAGCTCCTCTGTTAAAACACTTCATTATTCCACCAGACCTAGTTTTGAATTAAACCTTTAGTCAGCTAATACAATTTGTGATGATTTGATAATAAAGGAAGAAAAAGTCTTGGGACTTTGGAAAGGGTGCAGAGCAGAACACAAGAGGTAGGGGACAAACAGCAACTTCCCTATGCTGCCTGACAGACCTTCAGACAACTTTCCTAATGTAGCCTAAGGCAAGTACAGGTTTATAATAAACAAACACATTTTTACTCAGTGTGATTCAATGAAGAACACTTTAAAAACATATTCTTTAGCCAAGTTCAGAAACCTTAAGTCTCAGTATGGACCAGCTTTTTCCATTTGTTCAATTCATCATCTCATTTTATTAGTGTCATTCATCATTATGCTTAGTGTTAAGCTTCGTTGTGTAGCTGGGGCAGAGAAAACACACCGAACCGAATATGAGCAAATTGCTCAGCGGGACAAGTGAGCTACACGGCCTGGCTTCTTATTTAGTGCAGAGAAGTGCTGCTAAACTGATGCTAAACGAAAGGCACACTGCAGGAATGTAACTAAAAACTAGTTATCTTCGTTCCTGTGAGTATGGCTAGTTACAAATGAAAGTTTGAGAACTGTATTTAGACAGACTCCCAAGTGAATGCAAGGCCCTTTTCCCATCAATTGCATAAAGCATAGACATACATAAACATAAGCACATACGTGCCACAATTACAATTGTGTGTTTTGCCAGTGGCATACAAGCCCATGCCTACCAGCCGCACTTGTGCTTTAAAGCAGTTGAGAGCAGAGCGGATTTGGTCCCTGCGCTACCTGAGCAGATCAGTAAGCTCCTAAGAGCCCAGTATGTCCCACTGGGAAAAAGGAAACGTGCACATGCTATTCCAGGAGTTCACACAAAGGCTCCCAAAGCACAAGTGTTTGAGAGACAGATCAGAAACAAAAATATTTAAGGACACTTCTACCACTTCCCCTCCTCCCCACCCTTGATTTCCAGTATTAATTTGGCCGTGCTAATTAGATTAGTGTACTAGTGCGTTTTTATAGCACATTCTGGCTCACGTAAAAACTGAGACAAGATCTCTAACAGCCACATAATTGGGGCAAACGAGCTAACTAATGTCCATGTTCTCTTTGGGCTAATCACATCATCTGTTTCTAATGTATTAATCTGGAAAACACAATGTCTTACACAAAGCCACGGACTCTAAACACTGGCACGATTTGTTACAACTAGAAAAAGGAATTTTAAAGTGGGATTGGTTTCTGTGTGTTATCATGTGTTTACTTTTTTTATTGTTTCCAGTAGCTGGGAGAAAGCGTGAGATGAATTTTGGTTTTCCTACGTGCGAGATGAAGGTGTATAGGACCAGCAGGTACGTGTTTCCTGGATTTCACTACGGTGCAGTTACAGCCTTTGCATAGCTGGAACAAAAAGTCAGACAAAGCCATTTAATTTTCAAAATCAGGAAGTTTCAAAACAAGGAGGGTAGGGGAGGATATCAGATGACTAATTAGGCAACAAAAGTCAGAGGCTTCGTGCAAAGCAAAAAAAACCCCACTTCACTGTATTAATACAATTGTCTTTGTGAAATTTCCATCCCACAATACTAAAATCAGTTGGAATAAGTGACGTTACACATATGTCCCACTGGAATGGATGCACAGATCTGGACCTTCAGCAAACACCTCCTGCCAAAATATGCTTCTTGATAGATAAAGCCTTTGTCAACAAATTATCCAAACTGAATGAAATTTTGGTTGATCCGTCAGTTTAGCCCACGCGTGGGCAGAGGAAACAGTGGTGACTGTGCAAATTGATTTTAGAGGATTTTAAGTGATGTTCCAGGTGTTATGTCACTCCTGATACTCTCTCCTGAGACTTTAATCTTGTATTTGAAGCTATTTTTATCTTTCCTGCTCTTTGCAACCTCCCTCACCACAAAAGAGGTAGGGAAAACAACACTTAAAGGAAGAGTTAAAGGAGAGATACAGTGAAAACGTTCCCTCCTTACATGTCAGTAATTAAGACTTATCACCTGTCTACGTATAAAGCAGGCTAAAGAAACCAATAATCCTCCAAACAACTCGCACATCTTCCAAAACTGCTACCATAGATTGAGATATCTGAAGAAAGCCAAGATTTTTCTTTAGGTAAACTGTTATATATTGGCACATAAGCAATAATTTAAAAAGATGTCAAGACAACCAGAAATCTAGAAGCGATCTGTGTTGTTTTTTTTTATTTTCACACAAAGTTCTAAAAAGGAACAAAAAAATTGTTACCTTTAGCAATCAGCTGAAGACTAACTGCAAACTTTTCTGACAAGGTAGAAAGAAAAAAATAAGACACCGAAAGAATTTTGTTACAGCAACAGAAAAAACACCAGGCCCTTTCTATGACCAGACTGAAAGAAGCCGCTATGAAGTTACTGCTGTAGTCAGCGAGATCCTCTCCTCTGCATTGCCGCTGGAAGAGGAACAATAAATGCTGTTCAAGAGAAGCAGGAGCTGCCTGCCTGCACACGAGTTTCCAACGTGACAAACCAGAGGCCTTCTTCTAGAAAAAGCCAGCAGAAGCTGGCTCTAAACAGGAGGTCATCACTATAAAATTGCTTTTAAAGTATGTATTGAACTCCCTAGGAGGAATACTGCTATTCTTGAAGGGTGACTAAATACTCTTTTTATTTAATTGCCTGATTCTCTGAATATCTGATGTACTTCTGACTTTCAAATTTGCGTGTGTGTAATGACACAAAAATGGATGTGTGGCAGCATAGGGTCAAAACACTGAAAGAAAGAAAAGCCAGTGGAGAAAGAGAACGTGGTATGAGGAAATATGGAAATAATAAGAAAAAAATGGAAGTGGCCCAGAAGATTTATATTATGGCTGGTTGTATAAAAAAAAAGGTAGAGCAGAACAGGAACCAAATAGCTAGCAAACTGTCAAGATAAATTGCTACCTGGAAAAGAAAAATCAAGTAATAACAGTTATTATTCACTGAGGTAAAGAAAATTAATGCACTGTTTAATGACTGCTGAGGAAATGTTTTAAACACCAGCCTGATTTCATTAATATGAAATAGGCTGAATGTAGCTTGTCCAGTCTAAAGAATACCAGCACCTTGCTTTATTACCCTCGAAAATACTTTTGACGTGGAGCATCTCTGGCATCCTTCAGTGTTTCTCATCTTCGTATTTAAAAATAAATACAAAATGACCTCTTTGAGATATGAAATATGATTCTGTGGTTAAGGACATGGCATTCAATCTCTTTCAGACAAAGCGATCTGTTATATTCAGCATCTCTTGGTCTATGAACTCTGTGATCTAACACATTTTTCTCTCTGCTCCTCTTCCCTTATGGGCTGATGCCAATGCAGCACTCTGTCATGCTGCAGAAGGGCCAGTGCTTTCCAACTTTCTGGAAGTGGAAATTAAGAGCACTCCCAAGGTGCTGAAGAAACGGGGACCAAGCCAGTTTAAATTGCAGTTTGGACAAAAAGTTCAGTAGAGTTGAGGTGGCCTAACCAAAAGCTAGAGAGACTGCACAACTGACAGATAATTCATGGCATTTAGCTTCTGTGTTCTTTGGTAACAAAAAGAACCCAAACAGCTGCACGTTGGGAGGTGACAACCATCATTCATTGCCTGGTATTCGGCTGCACAGCAGCACAACCTGCAGCCTGGACACCCAGTGGATGTTGCGCAAGCAGAGCAAGTGCAATCAAATGCAAAATCAAGCTCTAATAATAGACTTCGCTGGAACTTTCTCCCCCATTCCACACTCCAGGAAGCTTTTGGCTAAAATTCTGAAGGTGTTTTAAGCTGGAGCTGGTTTATAGTATTGGGAAGCTACTCTTGGAGTGGGAAGATGGGATTAGGTGCAGAGAATACGACCTAATTCTATGTAGTCAGGACTCTAAGGGAACATGGGTCATCCAGATGTCCACAGTCCTCATAACCCTTTTCTGCAGTCCTCCCCTCTCGAAAATCCCATATTCATTTACCTGAAATCGGTATCATTTGCTCGGAAAGTCTGAGAGCAAACACAAAAGAACATAGGAAATAGTATGTTCCTAAAAAGATTTTAAAAATATATTGCAAGAGCGTATTTTGAAATCCAGGGATATTTAAAAACCTGTCCTCCTCACAGAGGACTGGGACATTCAGAAACCGAAGAAACGAAAACGCTTCGCTACTTCAAGAAGAAAAAAACCACACATCAAGGAAGCAAGAACACAATTTTACTCGGCAAGGGGACTGGAAGCCACCCTGTTCTGAGTAACTCTCCAGCTCCCCTAAGTTCGTAATTCCATCGGAAGTTAAACACTTCACCTGCTCAGTTATATAAAAGACCAAATCATAAAACCAACCAAATAAATAAATGATTTTTAAGAAAAAAAACCAAAACACAAAAAACCACGCCCCAAGCCCACCCGCTCTACCATTCTGCCCTGGGGTGAAGCTGTAGCACACACGGAGCAGAGATTCGACAGGCGCTGTCGTCTCCGCAAGCCCTTCTCTACGACAACAACTGCTTTGCCGTTAACGCTCCCATATTCACAGCACTGATGTGTACGGAACCGAAAGCAGCAATGAGCGAGGGCTCCTACAACCCACT